GGCAATTTAGCATTGGTTATTCACATTTGAATAACCAATGCTATTATTCACATTATTGGTTATTCACATTTGAATAACCAATGCATGTTTTCGAACTGCCAATATGGCGGTTCGAAAGCATGCAAATGCAAGTAGATAAATAGGGACCACCTCAGTGGGAAGGTAACAGCGTTCCGTGTCTAGGTCGCACTGGCCATGTGGCCACGGAAGATTGTCTTCGGACAAATGCTGGCTCTATGGCTTGGAAACGGGGATGAGCACCGTCCCCTAGAGTCGAACACGACTGGACAAAAAATTGTCAAGGGAAACCTTTACCTTTATTCACATTTAGCAATTCTGATGTTGTGTTTTATCACATCTTAGATCACTACAGTTCAGACTCATTGTTTAAAAAGGCTGACACATATCATCAAACTGGAGAGAGGAGTACCTCGTCATTTAAAAAAAAGAGACAAAAACCCAACACCATCTTACCAAAAGACCATACATCTGATTTGCTGCTAAATCGACTATAATTGAAAACCTCTGGGGGGCACCACTTCACAGGAAATTTAGCACCAGAAGAGCTTGTATATTGGTCATCAAGTACATACCTTAAAATTAAAAAAAAAAGAACATGTGTGATCCCTGCAGTCTGAAAACACAACCAGAGAAACCCAGAGATTTGATTTAGGTGTTCACATTATTTCAGAGATAATTGTAGGTTTCACAGACATTCTTTGCAAGTACTTAGACAGGCGACTAACATTAGCTGAAGGAGCAAAAATCAACAATTTTCTGGCACCTTAAAAACAGTTTTATTTTGTGTAAGTTTTTACAGGCTACCTTATGGGCTGCAATCTACAAAAGCTTATGATGAATAAAATGTGTTTGTCTTTTAAGATGTCACAAATCTTTTGACTGATTTAACTAGAGACGTTTCGAATATGGAAGGCAGGGCCGGACTGGCCATCTGGCAATTCTGGCAAATGCCAGAAGGGCCGATGGTCAGAAGGGCCAGTTCTTGCCTCAGCGCAGGGCCAGGCTGAGCCCCCCTCCCCAAAAGAGAGCGAGCGAGAGAGCGAAAGGGAGCCTTCCCTCCCTGCCCCCTTGCCTTGCCTTGCCTTGCCTCCTCCTCTTCCTCCTCCTTCCTCCTCCTCCCGCCCCTCCAGCTGGGGCGTCCCCCCCAACCTCCCCACCCAGCCCAAGAGCGCACC